GGGGCATGTGTTTGTGCAGCGCTCTGCTGCAAGAATATGGGCGTATGAGGCGTTTGAGCGTAATCCCGACAGTTGTGCTTTAGCTGTGTAAGGAGCCTACGAAGGCTGAAAGCTAGGCGGTCTGGCAGGAAAGTACACGTCGTTAGGCGAGACATGACCACTTCGTCCGATGTCCGTGACCTTCCTCGCGACAGAGACGACTGCTCATTGGAGTTGCCCAAGACCTTCCAGATCGACCGCGTTCCACCTGGCAACGAGAATCTCTGCGTACACCACATTTCAACTCTCCAAGACCCCAGTGCGATGTTGCGTCGGCGTGAAGCAAGGGCCCCCATTGTCAACGCTTCTAATCAACGCAGTCAAGCTCACATCGTCTTCCGCTGCCGGTGAGTGACGCCGGATGCACGGTCGCCCGTACATGTCGTACGTTAGTTAGAATGCGCGTAGATTTCCGGCCGTGAGGCCGTTACACGTCGTATCAAGGTCGGCCATCGTTCTTGGATTCTATGGGTGAAGGCGCGTTGCAAATGGATAGACGAGTTGGTGACGGAGGGGGATTTCGGTATGAAATTGTTGTACCTTGGTAAGGTGCGGCGTGTAGGGAGTACGGCATGGAGGTCTTTCCCCGTATGTTCACTGCGTGGGTGCCACTTTGTGTCCGTTCGTGATGTAGTGATGTCGTACATATGTTCGGAGCAAAGTTTCTTGCTGTGGGTGTTTTGTGGCGCGGTGTTTTTCTCCTGTCGTGCCGGCAAGCAGCAACAGCGACAACGACAGCAAGGTCGAGCTCCAGCCCGTACACCAGCAAATTGGCCAGGTCGGCCCAGTTCCACAAGCGCCTCAAGCCGTTGCCTCTCCTGCATTAGTCAGAAACATGTCGGGCATACCAGTCAATACATATCGCCGTCGAGAAGGGCACTATCAGTGAGGTGATCCATTGGCGCACTAGGTAGTCACCAGCCCGGGTAGTCACCGAGGTTGCGCCGTGGTCACCTGACATGTTATAAAAGGAAAGCTGCTTCTTACCTGTATTGGAGAATTGGCGACGGTGACGGCTAACGCAGATTGTTATCTCGGAAGAATTGCCGGTGGCGAAGATATTTAGCACGATAAAATGTTACAAGTTATGTAAAGAGTATTATTAGCGTTCGGCAGGACTTGAGGAGATTCCTTTGAGGAATACCGATCATAGTGAGATAAACAAATAAGCGCAGTCACCGACCTAAATACCGGCGCTAGCGGAAAACTCGTACATTCCGCGATCTAACTGCACGTACATTCCGCGATCTCACTGCGCCGTCCTGATGGTGCCCAAATGTCTATCACTTAGCTACCGGATATGCATCGGTAGCCCATAAGGTTCTGGGGTAAGACTTCCCCATTAGTCAGGCGTAGACCCGGGGTCAAATCCCCTGGTCGACAACCACACGAGTTGGGAGAGGACCGTTTCCTCAACAACCTGAGTTGGTTGGCGCTCATGCTCCTGATCGTGGCAGCCATATGCACCAGTAACCCCAGCCATGTTTCTTGCAGGCTCCTGATCGTGGCAGCCATATGCACCAGTAACCTCAGCCATGTTTCTTGCAGGCGTCTGTTAATAACTAGAACTGCGAAAGAACAGTCTACATGAAGTGACGAAGACTGTCGAAGCACGAAGAGGTATGGATGGCATGGCCAAGGCCCCGCACCGCCTCCGGAACCAACTGCACGACATTGAGGGGCGCTCCAATAGGTAGTCGAGTGGCACTGAATACGCGTTCTTATACAATTCAAGTAGCTTAAATGGTATGAATAATGGTATGAATAATTCTTTTGTTATGCGCACATGTTAACAACTTTGGCTCAACATTATATGTCAACACCGCTCCATGAGGTATGTCCTGCTTATCGGGTTGAACTTCATAGCTGTGAAAGCTTTTGGTATTTTTGGTATTGAAGGTCTCTGCTTCATTGCAAGTGTGGATGGTGAGCCATTGGATCACCTCTCTCAACCAGCTGCAATCTACTCCGACCAAGGACTTGTTTGCTCGTTTGGCTTGTTTGTTGACTTTGGGGATTTGTTTGA